GTCCGTTCTTTTCGTGAAAATCTTTTCACCCTATGCAGGGGGTTTACGCCTACTGCATTTGAGCACAGGGTGACAATGCTGTTGTCATGCCACTTCACGACAATAATGTTCTGGTTTTCTGTTTTTTTGAAATCGAAAACGCCTCGAACTTGCTTTTTCATTTCTTTTGAGTTTGTTAGTGGCCCATTAGGTATGCGATTTTCACGTATTGTGCCAGTAGCGTTGAAATTTTTCTCCGATAGCAATTCTAACAAAGATAACGTGGAAAAGAAATTATCAAAAAATAGGTGCATCCGTTTATTAGGCCACCTAGTTCTTAAAACGTCGGCATACTCCAATACAACAGATGGCCCTACTCCATAATCAATATACTTTTCGCTAATATTAGTGGTAGCACCTTGGTAAGGTTCCATCCAATTTACGTAGCCTAATCTACTTGCTCCTACCCAAAGTTTGTAGCCATAGCGAATTGGCTTATTGTGAATAAATTGTTTACAGCCATGGCGGCCGAAATATGGTACCATGGCTTCGTCAACACATTGCATTTCCTCACATTTACCAAATTTCAAAAATGCAGCATTGAGGTGATCAAACAATGGCCTAACTTTAGCAAATTTGTCGGATGTATTTATAGTGACGTTGTCAGTTAAGTGAAAGTGAGATAAAATATATTCAAATTTATTCCTTGACAAAGCTTCAGACACTAGTACATTTTGACTATCTCTTTCGTTTTCCCAGAACATTCTCCGCCTCGGAACTGGCACATATCCACTGAGTAATAACACTCCAATGAATGCTTTTATCTCACGTTTTTCTATTTTCAGGCAATGGTTTTGTTGCCCTGCATATCGATTTGATTCAACAACTATTAGGTCCAATATTTTGTCATCAAAAAATAAAGAAAACATATCTAAAGGGGTTTGCAGAGGTATTTCTTCTTCATCGTTACTAAATTCTTCACCATCATACACCAAATCTTCGGTTTCCCATTTATAAATCTTTTTTCTCTTTATTGTTTTTGTTCTCTTTGATGGCATTTCATATTCTTTAACTGATGGGCCATCTTTGTCATCTTCTGTATTAGAGAAAATGTTTTGCCTTGTATTATATTTATGAAAATTTATTTCAGCAGGCGCTCTAAGCTGTTTAGCAGGTAGATTATTTATGGTAAGTGTGTCTTCGTCACCAGAATCTTCATCAGTTTGAGAATCCGTGGCATTTTCTGGCGGAGAAATAGTCAATGACTCAACATTCTTTATCATATCTTCCTCCTACTCCAGCATAGCCAGTGCATCATTTAGAGAAAAACCCCTGGAAGTGAAAATATACATGACATATGCTAAATTATTGATATATTTTGTATAAAAGCATGTAATTTACGCAAAAATAAAGTTTTGTATGTAGTACTGTTGTGTCCAACGTCCTACATGTAGGACGCTGTGGAAAAGAGGTTCAAAAATATATTATAACATATTTGTACATTACTGTTAATACTATATTGCTAAATATACTTCTTTTTACGTTAAAATACACATCCCAAAATATTATTTATATAGTTTTAAAAATAAAAATTTTGCTTACCTTGCGAACGAAACACCATATTCGGCCATTTTCAAATTTACACAATTTTTGATGTTAACTACACAAATATTATGGTGTAACTAATAGTCGTTTTATATTTTATTACATCGGGTGGTTCCTAGAGATCGATTACCTGTAGTCAGCATTTAGTTACGGGGCAAGAATGAGACAGGATCGGACTTGCTTCAGGCGTTCTATATGTAGGACGTTGGGCATATCTGGGTTAAATTGAAATTAACATATAAAACATTATGAATTAAACAACTCAATTAACAGTCTATTGGCAAAACACATATACGATTGAGTGCTCTTTTTGTTTCACTACCACGCACCTCCATCTGGACCTGGATGCATTTCTATCACTCGTCCAAGAGGCCATTGAAGTGGAGGAGTCCTGTCGTCTTTAATCAACACCAAAGAACCTAGCTTTAACATTTGATGGCAATTAGATTTCCATTTCTGGCGCATTTGCAGCTCGTTCAAGTATTCCAGTTGCCATCTCGACCACAGCTGTTGAACCATTACTTGTATACATTGCCATTTATCGAGACGGTTCTCAGGAACATGAGTAATATCACACTCTGGCAACATAGTTAAAGTACGTCCAATTATAAAGTGTGCTGGCGTCAAGGCAGTGCTATCATCAGGATCGCCGGAGACAGGACAAAGTGGCCTAGAATTCAATATACCTTCCACCTGATGCAACAATGTACTAAATTCTTCAAAAGTCATAGATCGGTAACACATTACTCTTTTTAAATGAGACTTGATACTTTTTATTCCCGCTTCCCATAAACCCTCAAATGTAGGAGAATTTGCAGGTATAAAATGCCATTTTTTTTTTCATGTAATAAACTTTGAGAAATGGACGCACTGCCTCGCCGGACAATACAATTTGGTCCCTATTCGTGGGAATTATATGGATAAGTACTTAATCAAGCAAAAAAACCCAAACAAAACAAAGAAAATATGGAACAAATTAGAACAAGCTATGAATTCGTTGATATGGTGTACAATAGCAGTGAAGAGAACATAGGAAAAGACTTCAGTGAAGAAGAAAAGAGAAAGGAGAAGATGATGTTCGGAAAAAGAGGATTTTTTGGAAGGTCTCCAGTCAGGGGTCGGGACCTTACCAAAAAGGATCTTCCAAGGGAAGCAACCTTACAAAGGAGCTTCTCACTTGGAGAGAAAAGACCTGCGGAGAAGGTGGAGAGCTTTGACATAACGCCTATGGTAAGAGAAATGGAGAAATTTACCAGCGTTACAAATAATTTATTGAAACTAATGTCCGACCATATAAACACGAAGGTTGTGATTAAAAATGAAATAAAAAAACTTAAGACAATCACATATAGATCAGGACAAGTGGAGTACTTCCAACTTAATACTATAACCACAATTACAAGGAAGGGCCAGGAGGAGGAGAACCGAGGAAGCCGTCAGACCATTTTTATGGTCCCTGTGGAAAAAGGGGAGACGGAAATGGACGGGGACAAGAGACTACTGGCAATTCTGTCTAAATTGAGGGAAGACATAGAAATTGTAGGGACCAAAGAGGCATCCCTAAAAGTAGTGGGCGGCGACAGAGGTAAAAACCTCAGGAAGCTCCTTGAAGTCACCTTTAGAGGTATGAACCCCCAACTCGTGTTGGAGTATTATAAACAAGAAAAAATTAGGGCGGGAACGCAGAAGGTTATCGTGAAAGGAGGTGGAAAATCTTATGCCGAGTTGCTGAAACAAATCAAGGGTAGCGTAGACACGAAGGAGGGGATTAGTGTCAAAAGCGCTAAAAAGACCAGAGGCGGAGATCTCATCCTTGAAGTAGCAGGGAAATAACAGGCCGAACGCCTGAAGAAGACTATTGTGGCCCGTACGGAGGGAAACACGGTAGAAGATGTCCGGGGTTATCAAGTTCAGTGACATAGACGGAGATGTCACAAAGGAAGAAATTCTGGGGCAGGTCCGGAGATATACCGGCAGCAAGGGGCCTAAGGATGTCAAACTCGTCTCTATAAGGGAAAATAGAGTTGTATTTAAAGAGTATAGAGTTGTTGAAATAAAAGTTGTATTTAACTAAATGTACAGTTCTATAAAAATGTAAAAAACTAGGTTTTGAGCAAAATAAAAACATTGAACATTATGATTATACATTTTGTACAAAGTTCATTTTTAACTTAACCCATTAACGCCTAAAAACAAACTAGCGTGGAAAAAATGATAAGCGGTACAAAATTGTGATATTTGGGTTATATTTATTACATTTATTCAAAAAAATATATTTTTTTTCAAAAACATTTTGAAATACAAGGGCGTCCTCAAATGGGGACGTTAGGTATTTGTATGATATTTTTCAAAACATCCTTTTTCAATACACATTGTTTTTTCACACTTTTTGCATGTCCACCTTGCCTTCATATGACACACACACACTTTAACTGTTTTTCCAGTTTTCCCGGAAAATGAAAGCCTTCAGTGACTACAATGCTGGAACCAGCTTTTCTTTTTCTTTGTGTCCTTGAGGTGACACCATCTCTCAAATAACTACGTACTATATGACGACGGAATTCTAACTGATCCATCACATTTTCAGCAGAAATTTGATGAAGTTTCCAGGCATTAGTCATAATCATGTCAAGAAAGTACGTAAATAAAACCCACCACCACTTTTTACCTTTTATGCTTATTCGATATAATGATATGCACTGGTCATGCGCATCTACTCCACCCATTCCAGAATTGTAGGAAGCAAACAATTTTGGCTGTACTACATTTTCTTTTGATTTTGATGCTCTGGACCACCGTTTTACCGTACCTAATGGTTCAATGGTATCATAGTTGGATAACATAGAACAAACACTATTGTCATACCATTTCACACATAAAATTTTATTAGCTTTGTCGAATCTATAATCATATGTAGGGTAAAAGGGGTAGTGATTGGCCCTTTAACTAATTGAAACCAGTAAAATAACTGTATGTTTAATTTTTTTTTTCAGTTATAGGTAAGAAATTTATTGAGAACCTTCAAAGATGTTTATATTTTTAAAATATCAGGACCTTGAAATTAAAAGAAACACACTTAGGTATTCGTCTAA